AGAGCAGTGAAGCCACCCCTCTGCCTCTCATCCTAGCCTCTTGCAGAGGGGACCGGCGTGGGACGCAACTGGAATGAAGTGATTGTCCCTGGGAAACGCAGCCAAACGCACAAAAGTTGAGACACACACACACACACTTGGCAGCCCCAATGAGTCAAGGTCAAAACCACTTGCTTCCCAACAAAGGACATTGGAATGCTGAAAAGTCCTGCCATCACCCTCCCAAATGAAAACCATAGGTTCCTGGAAATGTTGACCAAACCTCAACTACCCGTCATTTCTCCCCGGTGCCCAGGCGCGCGCTCCCGACCTCCTGCGCCAGGCAGGCGGTCCGAGCGGAAGCGAGCAGCGGAGATGGACAGGAGGAGATGGGCGCGAGCGCACCTTCCGCGGGGAGGAAACCATGTGTTTCTAGCGTTTGCATGGGGTTGCTTGAGTCAAGTTTCTCACTCAAGTGGTTAACTGCGGTTATGCGTTTCTCGCACAAAATAAGATGTTCTTCCAAAAGCGGTTGGTATAACACCATGGGTCTCAAAGAGACAACTAGATACACCTTATGCTCGTTTTTGCGAGCGCGGGTTAGGCAATTCTAACCCAATAAGGGAGTTGTAACCCAATCAATCAGTCGGAAACAGGTCTGCAGGTTGTAGCCGAACCAATCAAAGGGCACCCTGGATCCTTTGTGGGGCCAGAATCAAAACACAAACTTCATTTTGGACCCACCAGCAATTTGCTATCATTAAGACAACCGATAGGAGTTGAACAGAACGAGAAGCCCAAGGGGGGCTGGTTGCCGTTGGACCGTTGCCCTACCCGGCAACGAACAGTCACCACAGATGGGCTGATGAGGTACTCGGTTTCCCTTTGTCTTTCCGGTAAAGCAGCTTCAAACATGTTTGCCTCAACAAAGTCATACCCACATCAGCAACTGATAACACAAGACTATCGTAAAACTCGGTGTCCTTTCGCTTGCTCTTGAAAGGGAAACACAGGTCCGCACCTCAGCAAAGATCCTATCCGCAATACAACATGCACGTGGGCGGGCGTCTTTCGAACATGGAACAGCGGAAAACAGTCTCCATGCTGAGTGAGACTCGGAGACCTGCCTTAATTTGCTCGTCTTCCGCATGTGTGAATCACCAAAAGGTGTCCTTGACCAAATGGAGTTGGCCATTCCCTCAGGACTGCCCTTTTTGATTGCCTCAGGGTAGAAACAATCTCAGATGTTGTGTAATTGACTAACGGGAACATATGGGTAAGCGTCTACCTGGAATGAAACCTGGGCCTATTTGTAATAACTTCAACATCTTCAACGACCAGAAAGCAACCTTCATGAAAGAGGTAGCTTGCATACCCAAATCATCCACGATAAAAGACATTGGATCGCACCGCTTTTGGTGCTTAAAAGGAAACCATCAGCAACCCCTCAGGCTTAAGACTACCTTGACTCTTTCAGCTTAAATGGTTTGCCTGGTCAGAGCCCTGCACCCGTCCTCTCTCACTAAAGCCGCGAGCCTGAACCTCTCCAGCCAGCTCCATGCTGCCAGCGTCAAGCAACCCCTTCGAATAGCATACCAGGTGGCTTTGTGGCTTCCCCTCTTCTGGAGCTGAATTTGCTTTTTCGAAGCGCAAATTTGGGGAGGCTGGGCCAATCCGATTTGGGTCTGCACCATTGTCAATGGTACCTATCTTTAGGTGTGGTTGAAAGGGAGACCAAGAGGAAAACCAACATCCATTTTGGGAGTCCCCCTTTTTAAGATACTATATACCTCTTTGCCGCTACCCTTGCTGAGAGCAGCTATGAAGGGAACACCTTTGGTAACCCAATAGAACTAGATCAATAAATTCATGTTTGCCGTTGGACAGTCTATCATTAAATTTGGGTGCGTCCGAAAATACTGGACTCCTCAAATTGGATTTCAAACGGGTTGCTTGCCAATGTCTGGGCTCCATGCGTCTAGGTTGAGCTTCTAGCAAATGCGGTGGTTGGGTCCACGGTTGGGTGTTTCATTGTTTCATGTTTTCCTGTGCGAGATGGACGCCATGTGTCACAACCTGTTTCTTGAGGGCGTTCCAACCGTGCACTATGCGGCACCCTTGCATCAAAGTGACCAGCCCTCAAGCGAGGCATCCGAGCCAAAAGCTGCGAAGGATATGACAGGCTGGCATGATGCGTGGCTCCTTCTGGTTGCGAGGGATGTGTTTGTCTAAGATGGTTTTCCACTATCCCCAAGTCACTATATTACTATACACCGCCAGGCGAAGGTGGTGTATATATCCACAGTGTAGAACCACGTTCCCTTGGAGGGTACTGGTGTAGGTGCTGTGGAACACCAAAAAGGGGCCATTGAAGCCCTTCCAAACAAACAAAGAAGCAACCGAGAAAAAAAAGCAAGCAAACAAACTAGTCAGCCGCCAACGAACCAGCCAACCGAACAAACACAAAAACAAAAACCCGCACACGAACACGCGGTGCGCGCACGTGCGCACACAAACACACCCTCACTCTGATTAAAGGACTTGGTTGCCAGGACCTATGTCGGGCCCGTGTTAGAACCAGACAGCATTGACACATCACGACCAAGGCCGAAGGGACTTGCAGAAAAGAAAAGACCCCCAGCTCCACCTGAGGAGCTGGTAAGGGAAAACACCTGAGAAGCTAGCAGGGGAGAAAACATGGGAAGGGGGGACGGGCACCCTAAGGAACTGGCAAGGGAAGATCAACCTATCCCGGCCTGGTCGGCGATTGGTGTCCCATATCCTCTGAATTACTTGTACTTTGAGATTTGAAAGCGCAATAATGGCTTGTGAAGGTAGGATACTACCGACCATGCTGCAAAACGCCTGGTTACTCAATACTCGGCGCATGACAGGCACTTCGAACTGTCTAAGAGATAACCCCATATTCAAACAATGAATTCGGAGACTCTGGGTCGCAAATGCCATAATGATCACAACGGATCTTTCAGGCACCACCGCTTAGGGAATGCTTCGTGACATACTCTGATGAAAGAGCTTGGTTCCCAGAACCTATGTCGGGCTCGCAGATCCAAAGATCGTGTACGTGTAGGCTTCACTTATTAGAACCGACGGGATTGACACATCATGACCAAGGCCGAAAAACTCGCGGAAGCAACATCGGAACAACACCGTCACAGTCGAAAAGGCAGGAACGGCTCGAATCAAGCAACCCCGCAACCCAATGTCGGACACACCCAGTTGGGTTTGTCGTGTCGTTTGAGGCTCGGTACCCTGTTTGGGCTTGTTTGAAGGAAGCCAAAGGGACATTCAGCCATTTTGTTGGGGGAGTCTTACAGGTCCGAAGCCCTATGTTGCCACATATTTTGGGACGAAAACACGACGTCCTCCAGCCAACGTAGCTGGCGCCATAGGGCAGGGCCTGGTCCGCAACTCCAAGCGATCTTACAAGAAGGTCTTTGTCCACCCAAAGCAAACGGGGTCTCTGGTTTCAGAATAGGGGGCACCCGCTTAAAATGGGTTGATGGATGGTTCTAAGTTCTATGAGTCTTATGTCGCGCTTTTCGTTGGGTGGCTTTCTAGGGGTCCACACCAGGACCCATCTGGGGATGTTCAAAACGGGGGGGGATTTCTCGGGACACCACCGCAACACGGGAAACCATTAACTAGCATAACGCCTGAGGATTCAATTAGAACTGCAGGTTTTCCAAAACAGATTGAGGGTAGCCACTTGAGGCCCCTTGCTTGAGGTTTGAGATTAGGAGCGGATCCGGAAGCCGCTTTGTACTCGAAGCGCACAGACAAAAGTGCGCCGGACTGATAGCCAGATTCACAGGTTATGAGCCCAAGTCACGCGGTGTGACACTGGCGCCATGGATGGCGCTGACACAGGGAGGACCCGGAGAAGGACCACCCTGGAGAACAACGGAAAGGGAACTGGAGGCCGAGTCGGCCCAGTGGTGGAGGAGGTGGAGGAACCTGCCCTGATAGCCAGGCCGGATGGGTTGATTGAGGCGGCAGCTTCGACCCAATGGCCTGGAGGGCCGCAGGGGGAGCCATCGTCGATTCAGCCTGGGCCGGCAGAGAACGAGCTGTTCACTCCGGAGCAGATGAGAAGGTTGGATGAGTGGACAGCCGAAGCTCCGCTCATTCACGCAACGGGAGCTGCAACAGGTCATGGAGGTTTTGAGGGCTACATCCAGCGGTCCAATGAGGGCATGCATGTGGAAAGGCAGCTGGCGCTGGCAGCACAACATCTTGCTCTACCAGGACCAGCGGGAGATGCTGAAGGCCCACGGCCTGCTCAACGGCAAGAACTGGGGCCGCAGCTGGTACTTCTTGGACCTGGGGGACATCTTGAAGGCTCACGGCTTGCTCAATGGCAAGATCAAGGAACGCTGCAACAGCCGGGACTACCTGAACCAGGACGGCATGCTCAATGGCCAGATCCGATGCAGGAGATGCGCTACTACATGGCACAGATCCTGGCGGATAATCGGAGGCTACATCAGGAGGTGGGGCAATGTCTCAGCCAAGTTCAGGACATGCAGCAGAACTGGAAACCGCCGGAGGTGGAGGCTACTCGAGGAGGTGATCAGAGTGACAGGTTTGCCACCCCTGAGGAACATGGAACCCCTGAAGGCCGTGGAACTCGAGGTGAACCTGCTGATCCTGAGGAAGAATCCTCGGAGCTACGTGAGGACGAGCCGACGGGCCCGAAGGACAAGTCCCTGGACATCATGCTGAAGATCGTGCAGGGCATGCAGAACATGCAGCAGCAGATGTTGGACACCAAGAAGAAGGTGGACCACGGCGATGACACGAGCGAGACGGTGAAGAATGTCACAACGGATTTGCCGAAGCTTGTGGAGTATAAGCCGGAGAGTGCTCCCATCGACCTGGGAGACTGGATTTGCGTCCTGGAGCCGATCATGGCGGACCTCAGTGAATCGTCACAGCAATGGTGGCAGAAGGTGGTGGAATCGGCGAGGATGTGGTACGGAAGGTATCAGACTACGCCGCCGCTGGAAAGACTCAAGCTGCAGCCGAAGGACCCTCCGGAGCTCCAAGAACCGAAATGGCGGAGGCTGGAGAGGCGGGCTGTGGGACTACTTCTTCGCGCTCTCCCTGACGGAGCTCGTGAAGAGATGGTGGCAACGAAGTCCATGACTTGCTATGCGATTCTATGCAAGCTCATGGCGAGCTACCAGCCGGGAGGACTGGTGGAGAAATCGGTCATCCTGAAGAACTTGGAAAGTCCCCCTGAGGTGGACTCCTTGGCATCGCTGGTGGTTGGGTTGAGGAAATGGATGAGGTGGAAGCAGAGGGCACAGGAACTTGGGGTGACCATTCCGGACCCCACGGTACTGGCCCGCTCCCTCAGCAAGATGGTGAAGAAAGTGGTGGAGATGCAGCCGGAGCTCTCGTTTAAGATGGCCCTGGCGAGGAATTCGCTCCAGCTGGACTCCATCCCCTCTCACGAGGCAGTGGAGAAGTACGCGGAGCACGTTTTGTCGGAGGTGGAAGCGATCGCCCACTTGGAGAAGGAGGTCAAGGCCCCAGCGGGGAAGGCGCAGGCCACGGACACCCGTATCAAGAAGGCAGAGGCTGTGGACTCCAAGAATGAGGTGAAGAACGCTGGAGAAGGTGGGAAACCCTGCAAGTTTTTCCTTACCGAAAAGGGCTGCAGGAGAGGACGTGGCTGCCGTTGGAGCCATGACCAGAAAGATGAACGCATGAGATGCTGGTCGTGCGGGGCGAGCGAGCACATGCGAAAGGACTGCCCCGTGGCGATCAAGAGCAACGTGGACCGAAAGCCCAAGGCGGCGAAGGTCAACGCGGAGGAGGAAGTCAAGAAGGAAGTCGCTGCGGAGAGCCAGAAGGTTACGACTCCAAGGGCGACTACGTCGGCAGCGATGCAAGAGGATTCACCGGGAGCGGCGAGTTCGGCATCGGGCGACAAAGAGACGGACGCAATGAAGGACGTGCTCCAGGAGGCGACCAAAATGCTCAGGAGCATCAACGTCAAGACAGGCAAGACTGGACCGGAGGACGACGAGAAGAAGCTGATGGACCTGCAGAAGCAGCTGGACGGCATGCGAGAAAAGATGCGGGTTCGACAGGTAAGGTTGTCGAAGATGGAGATTGGTGGGATGCGCGGACTGGTGGATTCAGGAGCAACGCACCCGCTGAGGCCCATGATGAAGGGCGAGGACACCTCGGACTATGAGGAGAAGACCGTAGAGCTGGCGGCTGGAGAGACGTACCGCCTGAAGGTCACCTTGGGAGGAACCCTGGTTGCGGAAGACGAGCGGATACAGCCGATCATCCCCATGGGAATGCTCACGAAGGACTTGAATTGCCAGGTCAAGTGGAGCGGGAAGACATGTGCGGTGGTGCACCCTGGACGAGGACGTCTACCGGTGGTGATGAGTCAAGGCTGCCCGGAGTTGCCGAGAGAACTCGCCCTCAGCTTGATCCAGGAGCTTGAGGGGGTGAACCGCTACAGGGTCAAGGCGCTGTCAAAGCGGGATGAGGTGGACTTCATCAAGAAGGTGGTGGAGACGCACCCGGTGTTCGACGGTGTGCCGGAGGCAATCAAGGAAAAGTTGATGGTCAACCCGGCGGAGGACTGGAAACCTCTGGGATTGAATAGGAGCCGGAGGAGAAGGCTTGAGAAAAAGGGAGGTGCGATCGTGCACTTGTTTGCAGGCCCGGAGGAGGGATTTGACTTGTCCCGGGCTTATAAAGAGCAAGGAGGTGATCCAAGGGACATCCTGGAGTATGACATCCTCCGCGATAACAGCCACGACCTCATGGACGACGAGCTCATGGGTGGCTTGGTGCGGCTGGCTTTGGATGACCGAATCAAGGCAGTGGTGGGGGGCCCGAATTGCAGGACGCGATCAGTGCTGCGGTTCTTCCCATTGCTCAACAGGGCCAAACCGCGACCGGTGAGAACGGTGGAACATCCCTGGGGATTGCCGGGAATGGATCAAGGAGAAGAAGCTATCGTGTACGAGGATGACGTGCTCATGTTTCGCTTCATCCTGGTCTACTTGCTGGCGGACCTCACGGCAAAGGCCAGGGAGGAAAAAGGGGGCGCTGTGGAGTTCTTCCTGGAGCAACCGGCAGAACCGCAGGCGGAGCCGAGGTGCGCATCGTGGTGGCGGACGCCGGAGTGGGAAGCCCTGGAGAAGCTCCACGAGCTCAAGAGGGTAACGTTCTTGCAAGGTGACTGGGGTGGGCGAGCGGCGAAGCCTACGACGATCGGGACCACCATGGACTTCAGAGGCCCCGAGAAAGGCATCTGCAAGCTACATCAAGGAGGTCATCAAGGGCAAGAACAGGAAATGGACAAGCCGAGGTGGATGATGACGGATGAGGAGAAGCTCAGCTCCTCGAAGGCATTGGCTCGATGGGCCCCTGGGATGATGCGGGAGCTCGCAAGGTGCCTTCGGAAGGAGGTGGACGGGGAGTCGAGAACGAAGGTGAAGGCCCTGTCGTGGGAAGAGCATGTGAAGTTGGGGCACCTGCCGTTTCGGCGGGACTGCCGAGTGTGTCAGGAAGCCTCAGCCAAGGACAGGCCACATCGAAGGGTACGACATCCAGCCGGGAATGTCCTCTCCGTGGATTTGAGTGGACCGTTCATCAAGGGCATCGATGTGGATGGAGTCCAAGACCGAAGGTACCTGCTCGTGGCTGCGTTCACATGGCCACAGATCCACACCGAGGAAGGTGAGGAACTTCCTGCTGCAGAACCAGGCGAGGGAGAAGATCTACTACCGGTGGAGGAACAGGAGGATCAGGGCGAGCAGGAGGAAGAAGAAGGCTTTAATGTGGAAGGAGCCCGAGAGGAGGAGGAGCAGCCGGTGATTCCGGAAATCCAG